AAGGTTGTCAAGTCATGTCCGACCATAGGGGGCAGTGCTCCATTACTAAGCCAAAGAGCCTGCATTGTCTGAGGACTACTCTGTGATCGTGTGGTCAGCATGGTTGCACAGAACACTGTTTACCTTCCCACCAAAGTGGTACCTATTTATATACTTGCATTTGCATGCTTTTGAACTGCTAGGTTGGCAGAAGCTGGGGCTAGTGACAGGAGCTCACCCCATCATACAGCACCTGGCCCTCAAACTGCCAACCTGCTGATCTTGAAATCAACCGAGTCAGTGTCTTAACCACTAGAGCCACTGCATCCCTACATTCTCTAAATGTTCTGAATTATAACTCACAGCATCCCTGAAGACTGGTAAGTTTTCCTGGGGATAATGCCTAATGCAGAAGGCTGGACAGAGTGTAGAACCCTTTATCTACCTGTCTCCTTTCCACAGTATGGCCTGTATCAGCTGCAGGAGAAGAGGAATCCAAATCTTGTTTCCTACACAGTAATCCTCCCTCTTCTGATACCCCCCACAACCCAAACACACACTTTTGCTCTATGGCTGTTTTAAGCCAAGAAAGGAGGAGATTAAATCATGATCCTTCTATGTTCTACATTAGCTTCTATAAACTACCTAATGGAAAAGACTATTTTCTTTCTTTCTCCTCTTTCTTTTCTTTCTTCGCTGGTTTAAAGGGCTCAGTGTGGCCGAGTTCGTGAATCCTGACCTGAATAAAGTGTAATAAGTAAGCCATCATGCCAAGAGCTGATTAAATTAAAGTTGTCATTTGGAAGAGTGGTTGGCAGCTACTAGACAACCTGTTCTGCTCATTGCCTGCAGTTAATAGATGATCCCAGCATTTCCTAGGGAACTAAGAATAACAAGCAAGTAAACCTCCCTGAAACACCATCCAAGTGCTGGTTCTTATTTATTTTTGCCACTGACTGCAGAAAAACCAGAACAACATATTAAATAAAAAAGATATTTGGTTGGACTTTGAGTCATACCCAACCAGAGAGAGTTTGTAGTGTTTTTAGAAGACAATAATGCCAGTGTTGGAATCAGGAGGCAAAACATAGGAGCTCCTTATGAAAAGTCTACACTACACTAACAGAGCATGACTCTCTCCTGTAGCCTCCTGAAAAAAACAGCCAAGGCAGCCATCATCAAAGGTGAGGGGGCAGCCCCCACTGCAATCCAAGCACAAAAAATGGCTCTTACAACCACTCCCTCCAATACTGGGCTCAGGTGGGTGAGTGCTAAGAGAGAGATTTGTGCTGCTATTGTAAGATTTTGTTTGCTTTGGAAAGTGGCATAAAATAGCTCATAAATGAATAATACACCATGATTGAAAAACAAGAATGGGCTATTAGCATATATGGGAGAACCCTGAGATTTGTAAATAATACAACTAAACAGTAGGGGGTGGGAACCTGAGGACATGGTATGTCTAATATCCATGGAATGCTGGATCTCAGTTGGGAAAGAAAGCCAGTCAATGTAGGGAAGAAGGAGAAAGTATTACATGCCTTACTTGAGTTGCTAACAGTTTGCAGCAGGGGTGGAAATCATATGGTCCTCCAGGTGTATTTAGACCAGGAACAGATGATATTCCAATTGAACCGCTGTAATCCATATCAACAGAGTCAACTCTACTGCTAACCGACATATGTCAACAGATATGGAAAACAAAACAATGGCCAATAGATTGGAAGTAATCAATATATCTCCCCATCCACAAAAAGAGAGACACAAGAAACTGCAGCAACTGTAGAACCACAGCACTGATCTTCCACATAAGCAAAATCATGATCAAAATTATGCAACATAGACTCCAACCATACATGGAGAGGGAAATCCCAGAGGTTCAAGTGGGATTCAGGAAAGGAAAAGGCAAAAGAGACCACACTGCAAACATACAATGACTAATGGAGCACACCAGGAAATTCCAAAAGAAAATCAGCATGTGCTTTATAGACTATAGCAAATCCTTTGACTACATAGATCATGAAAGGCTATGGAATATCCTTAAAGATATGGGAGTGCTAACACATCTGATAGTCCTGATCAGGAATCTGTACTCTGGACAAAAGGCTACTGTCAGAACAAAACACAGAGAAACAGAATGGTTCCCAATTGGCAAAGAAGTCAGACAAGGCTGTATCCTTTCACCCTACCTGTTCAACTTGTATGTAAAACATATAAGAAAAGCAGGCTTGGACACAGGAGAAGGAGGAGTCAAAATAGGAGGAAGGAATATCAACAATCTAAGATATGCAGATGACACCATAGTACTAGCAGAAAACCTCACAGACCTGGAACATCTACTAAAGAAGATCAAAGAAGAAAGTGCAAAGGCAGGCTTAATGTTGAATATAAAGGGGAAAAAATAATGACCACCAAGGACCTTCACAAGTTCAATCTAGAGCAGGGGTAGGCAACCTAAGGCCCGGGGGGGCCAGATGCGGCCCCCTGAGGCCTTTGGACCGGCCCCAGGCCGATCCTGCCGCCGCCACCACCACCGCCCGCCATGACGATATTGATTATTGTTATTACTACTTGTTCTTGGGGTTTTCTTGGCAAAGTCTCCACAGGGGTTTTGCCATGGCTTTTCTGGCGGTGAAAGAGTGTGCATGCATATTTTTTAATTTTTTAATTTTTTTAAAAAAAATATTTATTTATTTATTTATTTATTTATTTATTTTTGGTGCTTCGGCCCCCCAGTTGTCTGAGGGACAGCAACCCGGCTCCCAGCTCAAAAAGGTTGCCTACCTTTGATCTAGACAATGAAGAAATAGAAATAGTAAAACAATTTCCATACCTGGGATCAAACATTGACAGAAATGGGGACTGTAGTCAGGAAATTAGAAGATTAAGAATGGGGAGGATGGCTATGAAAGAACTAGAAAAGATTCTAACATGCAAAGATATACAACTCAGAACAAAAGTTAGAATCATACAAACCATTGTATTCCCTATTACTATGTATGGATGTGAGAGCTGGACAGTTAAGAAAGATGATAGGAAGAAAATCGATGCATTTGAGATGTGGAGCTGGAAAAGAGTAATGAGGATCCCATGGACAGCTAAAAGAACAAACAAGTGGGTCCTAGAGCAAATCAAACTGGCAACCTCCCTGGAAGCCAAGATGACCAAACTGAGGTTGTAGTACTTGGGACACTTCATGAGAAGGAAAGACTCATTGGAAAAGACAATAATTCTAAGGAAGGTGGAAGGAAGTAGGAAGAGAGGAAGGCCACATGGTATTAAGGAGTTGCAGGAATTAAGCAGAGCGGTGGATGACAGAGGGTCTTGGAGATGTCTCATCCATAGGGCCAACATGAGTCGAAATCGACTCGAAGCCAGTAAATAACAACAAAACAAACTCACCTTTGGCTCTGCTGGCTAGATCTGCTGGCAGGTGTAATCAATCAACACCTAAAGAGCCACCTGATTCCCTGCCCTGATTTGCAGTATCAAATGTGAGGATAGGCCTGGCTAGCATCCTGAATGGGAACACTCTTGGTAAGCAGCGAATGAAATACAACATTTTGTAGACCTGGAATTCTCACCTCACCTCACCAGAGCGTTATGAAAAATGCTTCTGTGAACCCAAAGTATCCAACAGATAAGAAGCCATGTGGTTAATTGTTTTCAGCTTGGAATCAAACCACAAAAGCAGCTTCAGAATTTTGGGTAACAATTTCTTGTGGACATGTTGGATTCAGGACTCTGAGCTGTTGTCCAAAAAAGCAATTTTCCCAAACTCTGATTTAGCGTTTTCTGATACACTTTAACAGAGGCTAGAAATTGATTTTTCAATCATTCCTGTCATGTCCTGCTTCCAGAACATGGACATGGACTCTAACTCAGAGACTGAAGCAGTGGACCTGCTGATGAACCAGATCAGGATGAAGTTCCAGAGGCACACATCTCAGAGAAAGACCAAAGTGCAGTACCAACTCTTACCCCTACCTACCTGTGCTGAGCAGAGACAAAATGGGGAGGACTGGATGGCCATCTGTCAGGGATGCTTTGATTGGGAGTTCCTGCATGGCAGGGGGTTGGACTGGATGGCCCTTGTGGTCTCTTTCAACTCTATGATTCTATGATTCTATAGGAAGCAGCAATTAATTAAGCAGCTGCCACATTGAGCTGATCTATAAGCTCCCAACCCTGCCCTCCCAGGATTGTCAGAGATTATATAACTCCCCTGGGTCCCCATGTTCCTGAACTCTGTGCTTGTTATCTCTAGATGCCATTTACCTGACTTGGACATTGCCGAACTCTGTCTGGGACTTAAGTATTGTATTTACTACAGTAAATGCTGAATTGTAAGCTATTCAGTGGTTGTGTTGGCTCATTTAGCTGCTGGCTATCAGCTGTGTAGTAATGAGCATTTGGCTAAGTGCCTGGATTGTGTTTGGGACAATTCTACATACAGGGATGTTACAGAGATATGGCCACCCTTATCATTCAGGGTGGAAGTGGACTGAAAAGCAGCAATGTGACACAGAAGGCAAAATTACCTGCTCACAGAGAACGCTGTGTGTTGTGTGTCTTCATGAATTGCTGCTCTGGGTTTGCATCTTTCCAGTTAGAAGGCACTGGCCATGCTCACATGATTGGAGGGATTCAGTGAGCTGTAATCTTAACTTTTCCAATCTCTAGTGTGAAACATGCCAACAATTTTAACTTTGCAGAGTAAAGGTTTGCCTCAACAATCTGATGTGTGGGAAACACTTGCACCAAGCTGTTGCTGCTGTTGATTATATGTCTTTTTGTTTGTTGTTAACTGCCCTCGAGTCAACCTCGACTCATGGAGGCCCCATGGATGAGACCTGTCCTCCACTACTCTGCTTAATTCCTGCAACCCCTTAATATGCGTTACTTCCTTAATAGAGTCCATCCATCTAGCATGTGGCCTTTCTCCCTTCCTAATTCCCTCTACCTTTCCCAGCATTACTGTTTTCTAGACTACAAAAAATGGTCTGCACTCCTCCCTTAGAGCCAGCATGGTGTAGTGGTTTAGCATTGGACTACGACTCTGGAGACCAGGATTCAAATCCCAGCTCAGCCATGTAAATTCATTGGGTGACTCTGGGCCTTTGGGCAAGTCACATTCTCTCACCCTCAGAGGATGGCAATGGCAAACCCCCTCTGAAGAAACATGCCAAGAAAATCCCATGATAGGTTGCCTTAGGATCGTAATAAGTCAGAAACGACTTGAAGGCACACAACGACAACTCCATAGTTTCTTAATGATTTCAAGAAAGCCACCTGATTCTTTGCCCAGCCCCCAACCAAACTGCAGCTTTTAAATCAGTAATGGAAACCCCACTATTACATTCCAGCTACTTTTGAAGCTTTGGTGTCTTTCCTTTGAAGAAGATTGGGGAGAGCAGAAGCTAAATTAGACACATTTGTGGGCAGGGCCACTTAACTTTAATTATCGTATGTATTCGACTATAAGCCAACCCCATACATAAGTCGAGGGCAGGTTTTGAGGCCAAAATTATGGATTTTGCCTTGACCCATGGATAAGTTGAGGGTAAAATTTGGAGGCTCATTCAGTGTGTGTGTGTGTGTGTGTGTGTGCAGCAAGAGAGATTCTAATTGAGGCCTTTTATTTCAACTTTGGTTTCAGCCTTCACCCAGACAGCGATGGCCATTGCTATGGGAGAGGGTCTCTGTTTGTTTGTTTAAAAGCAATTACTCACTCGAGACTCTTTCTGCTTGGCTCAAGAGAAAAAGAAACTATCTTCCCACTGTATGGGAAAATCTGAAAGAGCTGCTATCACATTACCATAGTGATCTGTAAATAAGTTGACTTGGGATTTGGGGGTCAATTTTGGGGCATAAATTTTTTAGACTTATAGGTGAGTATATACGGTAGTTTGGAGTGCAAATTCCATCCATTAACTCATTATGCCACAGGTTCCACTCTTTCTGTAATCTTTTTGCAGATTATAGACAAAAATAACTTTTGAGAGGACATCCAGACTCAATAATAGTATGATTTGCAGGTGGTTCATTTGTCAGCCAATGAAATGAAAACAGCACTTGGCTCCAGGAGGGGAATGTAACCATTCTTGAGCTTAATCTCTTTCTGATGGTTTATTTCAGGGATACATCTACTCTGCATTCTTTTGATCAAACAGATGTCAGTGACATTCACTCATGCACCTCTACATAGCTGTTGTTATTTTAATTTCCTGCCTAGAGGTATTTGATGAATTTACATCTTCTATGTTACAAGGTATGCAAGGTAAGGGGGGGGGGCAGAGAAAGAGTTAACCCTCATTATTTGTTGGAATAAGGAGACTCTAATAGAAAGGATGGACGGTTTTATGAACCTCCATTGTTAAATTAATGACAATGCTACAAAAATAAATGCACTGCCTATCAATTTAACCCAAGCAATCTCCATTTCTCTGCTCCTTAGCCTGACTGAGCTCCTCATCAGTTCAGTATCACTCCATCTTCCTTTGCCTCTCCCCCACAATCATGAAAGAGAATACGAGTGAAGGAGAGGTGGGTTCCTATTAGTATTATGATTCTTGCAACTGCAGCAAGAATCTATGAACACCTTGGCCATTAGACTTAGGGAAAGAGTTCCTCTCTTCCCTACATTAACTGTTGGCAAAGTCAGGAAAAATGTATGCAGAATGTGGACAGATGTATGTGTGTGCATGGAAGGCATTTGAGTAAAGCAGGACCTTTACGAATGGGGTGTGTGCATGGATAGATTATGGGATGTGCATGAATGTGGTGTGTATGTGAAACAGCAGAACTGAAAAGAGAAACCTCCTTGTCTACAGCGTGAACATATCCCTTCCTGAGGAACAGTAGATTCTAAATGATTTTAATTTCTGAGTAAAGATGTAAACAATTATTTACAAATTTTCTTTTTCTTGATAACAATAATAATATGGCATAAATATTGTACCCTGGCACAATGGAGGGTGGAAATGCCAGTTTGCCACATCAAATAGTCTGAAGGACAATGGCATAGATTTGTACTACCGCCTCTCAGTTTCTCTCTTATAGTGTTTTGCTGTTTGTTTCTAGTTTAGTATCTGTAATATAAACCTTTAAAATATTTGTACATCACCCTGGAATTCATTTTTGGATGAAGGGCTGTCTAGACTGTAAAGACCTGACTGTTCCAGATTTTCTCTTAACTTAATGTAGGCTTTAAACTTAAATGTTTCACTTTTGATGTGTGTTTATATGGTTGTGCCAGTTTTAATTATTTTGTGTTGTTCTAATTAATTGTTTCATATTTTATTTATTTTTAAATTATTTTGTGAGCATCTTTACTGAAGTTTTCTCTCAAAATCTAGTTTTAAAAATACAGAAAAACCTATTTTGGAAATACATAAACTAAACAGATTTATTCTGTACCATAAAGGCACCATCTGATCTTGGAACCTAAGAAGAGTCAGCCCTGGTTAATATTTGAATGGGACAGTGTCAACAAATACCACATGTTGTAGGTGATATTTCAGAGGCAACAACTGGCAAAACAACCTCTTTGTATTCTTTGCCTAAGAAAACTCTATGAAATTCATCGGCTCACCATAAGTCGACAGGTAACATGAAAGCATGCTCACACATACATGCATTTTGAACACTGCAGTACCTAGTAAGGATTGTCTGCTATACTGACAACCCATTCATATCTGTGAGACTTTCATAAATACAAAGAGGAAGGCATTAAACAAAAGCAAGTGCATGCAATAGTTGTCTTCTGGTTTTTTTCCAAATTTCCATAGCAGAACCAGAAGCTTGTACCAAGCACTGAAACAATCACTATGGCTAATCTCTACTTCATAAGTCCCAGAAGACAATAGCTCTGGTGGGCTGTCAACTAATCTCACTCTTAATTATTGACCATAAACCAAAGTATAACCATATAGCAAGAAAGTGTATTTGACCATACTTCAAAGTGCCAGCCAGAAAGACTGGCCTGCCCCTTGTTTTTGATGGACATCACATTCTCTCAAGGCAATCTTTTAAGATTAGAGGCTGTTTGCTCTGCAGCCTTTTTTGCATTCCCCCCAAATACATAAGCAATGGGTAATTGATAGGATTCTTTCACTGATGCTAGAAAGCAATAAAATGGCTTATAATTTAAAATAATAATGATAATCCCAAAGTATTTCCAACTCAATTGCAAGGACTATTTCTACAGCATCAAAAATAATCCTTTTGATTTATTCTGTGCCTTGGAAATCTACTTGCCATTGTTGGTGTCTCACCCAGGACAATTATTATGTGTGCTTAAGATATTATATGAATTCTGTTATGAATCTGGAATGGGAATTTAAACCAGATATGCATTTTTACCCCTTTTGTGACACACAATGACTTCTACATGTCATCCTAAACAACAATGAAAATTATTTGAAGGAGCACAGGCTCCCAGACACCTCGGAGATCTGGAAGATTCTAGAAATATAAAAATGTATTTTACTCTAAATTAAGTGGTTTACAAAGTCTTTGAGTATTATTTTCTCACTGAACCAATCAAATATCTTTTTTTAAAAAAATCTTTACCGAACTTATTTTTTATTATTGAACAAGTCCTTGAGGGTTACAGCACAATTCTGTGCTTGTCCACTTAAATGCAAATCCCACCAACACAGGTAAAGCTTACTTCCAGGTAAATGTGTACAGGATTTTTTGCCATCTTGGTTTAAAAGAAATATTTAGTCTAATGTTTCCAGTATGGATTCTTAGCAAAATATTGTCAGAGGAAAAGACGTTCTGCTTTCCTGTTATCATTTTGCATTAATTCCTCATGAGAAAGATGAGAAAAATGCACTCAACATAGCAGGGTACGCTTTAGCATGTGAGAGGTTTGGGGTTTTTTGGTTTTTTGTTTGTTTGTTTGTTTGTTTTGTTTTTTGTCTTGTAATGTACAAACCTTGCAAGAAGGAACAGGGTAATGGAAATAGCTGTACGTGACAGAAATACATAAATAATGATTTCTGATTATTTCCAGAGACAAAGAAGTTAGATGTATTTTATTTTATTTTATTTTAACCCAAGAGTGCCCATGTCCTCTCTGTCTGTCTGTCTGTCTGTCTGTCTGTCTCTCTCTCACACAGACAGCTATTTCCAAAGGTTCTGAGTTTCTTTTTGCTAACACTTTTGAATCCCCGGTTGTTCACATTTGGACACTACAATCTGAGATAAACCCCCTCCTCCTCCTGTCCTTCCCAAGCACCTTCTCTTCTCTTACCTTAATCTGCTAGCCACCTTATTACTAGGACAGGCTTCATAATTATTACTATTACTATCATGAAGTGCTTCTCCTTCAGGCCTCTCTTCCTTGGCATGGCAATGATTGATTAATTGATTGATTGATTGATTGATTGATTGATTGATTGATGTACATTTATTTCTATTCCATCTGCAAGGTGATGCATGAATAGGCCCATGAGCTCAGAGATGGTCTACTACTGTTGAGAGAGGTCCACTAAGGCCATACTATCACAGGCCAGAAAGCTCTGAGGTTGTTGTCTCCTCAGACCTGGTGCTGGCCATGTCAAATAATTGTCAGGATGCTTTAGGGGAGGAACATGATAGCTGAGGTGGCATTCAATAGTACTTATATTTCTTTTATATCTTTCTTTTCATTTGCTCACCACTTCTTATACCCCGCTTCTTCCTATTCATTTACTGTTGTCAGAATCTCTGGCATCCCCTCACTATGCCACATTCCTCTTTTTCTCACCACCATCCTATCCTCCCCCTACACACACACCTCTTCCTTTTCTCTCCTATTACTACCTTTTTTCTGACCTTCTCTCCTTCACACTCATGCAACACCATCCAAATTCTCTAAATAATGTTTAGCACACCATGAATAATGACATCCTAATTAAATGGAAGTGATATGAAGCACTGAGGTGATACACTGGCATCTGGTCCATCAAGAACATTTGGCAGGCGTATAAGGTGTTGTTCATTAAATGTGGTTCATGTACAAAGCCCTCTCAAAATCCAGCACACCAGTGCCTCTGCTGTCTTAAAGAAAACGGATGTAACATTTTAAAAAAATGCCCCCTT